TTTCTTTTTTTTTTTTTTTACTTGTTTTATTTTATTTTTATTTATTTTAATGAAGATTAAAAAAAAGTCGACTTTTTAACTATCAAGTGGACTGAAACAATCCAAAAGGACCATTAAACAATCCAAAAGGACCATTTGCTAGGCGAATTGATAGGATAAGGAGTTTTGAGCCAAAATTTGAAGGTTAAGGATCAGTTTCAAAGGGGTCCTATACATCAGGGACTAAATGTGTAAATATATTAAAATACGGGGACTATTTGTGCAATCTAACACTATTTAAAACAATTCTAAAACCCGCTCTCCTTTTGACCTTCAACCCCCTACTCCACCACATGCATGTAAATTATACCTACACAGTGTATATATAACCATGTAATCTCTATACAAAATTCCTCTGAATCACAACCCCAATTGAATTCGCTCACTCCGTTAGGGTTTATCCTATTTATTCGCCCATAGAAACCATTATCTTCTAAATTGTTGTCTTCTAATGGTTTTGAATATGGGTCGAGAAAGCGGGTACGTTTTTTCAGCAGATCCTTCGGACGGGTCGAAGAAGAAGGGAGCCGGGTCGTGGAACTGGATTCTCATGCAATCTTCGGGTCAGGATATCATATTGGAGGTTGATAAATACGCGATCATGCACCGCGTGAAGATACACGCGCGTGACCTTCGCATCCTTGACCCCGTCTTGTCCTATCCTTCTACCATCCTCGGCCGTGAGAGAGCCATTGTCCTCAATCTAGAGGTTCGTTGTCGAATTTTTTATTTTTGGGGAAGTGAGTTTTGGGTTAAGATTGTTTGGGTGTTGGAACTTTAGGGATAATGAATAATTTCTTTTTTACTTTCCTTTTTCACGTATTTCAAATTATAGATTATTTAGATTTTTGAAAATATAAATGATTTTTTAATTTTTTAGTATACCTCTATTTACCCCTTGTTTGGCCCTCATTAAAATTATGCGTTTGTTTGGATCTAGAGCTTGTTTGGTAGGGATTTTTAATGGAAGAATTGATTTTTGAATAGTGTTATGATGGAAAATGTGTGGTTGAAAAGAAGAAAAAACTATTGATGTGATGGAAAATATTATTTTATTGAAAAATATGTGGTTGAAAATGAGAATTGATTTGAGAATCAATTTTCAAATAAAAAATAAACACCCCCTAATAAAAACTCAATTTGGACCATTGAAAACTACAATTTGAACGGTTGGAATATATTTAATGGGAAAAATACATATGAAGATAACAGTCACACATTTACTTCCCACTTCCCAAATTTTCCCTCATTTGTTGGAAAGATTGGAGGACAAATGAGAACCAATTCAAACCTTATAAGTGAGGGACAAAATCGTAAATTCGTTTTGTTTTAAATGAATCACCAATACCACGTCTTTTTAGTGGGCCCTGTTGATGTGACCCAAAAATCAATGGCGTGCCAAAAATTGCGCCCAAATGGGGTTTATAATCATTTTTTCTCTATCTTCTTATCAATTACACATTTTCAATAAAATAATATTACACGTAAATTCAATATTTTTTCATCTTTTTTAACCACACATTTTTTTAAAAAAAAATTAATTTAAGAATTATAATATCAAATAATGAAAGTCAAACGTGGGCTTTTTTGACTTGTTATCAACAAATATGAACTATTCATATTTAAATCATTATTTAATATAAGGATATATTAGGAAAAATGTAATTATATATATTATTTTTAACTGCCTTAATTATATTTTCTTAATCGATGTGAACATAGAAACAAGCCTATTTTTATATAACAAAGGAATTAGTTTTTTGCCAATTTGATTATCTAAATTTAACTAAACGAATAATCCAATAGCAAGGCAGTGTAATTTAATTAAAATTTTCAAGTTCCAACTGTACATATACATTATTTTTAAAAAAGAATTATAATATACTAGACAAAGATTTTATTTTATTTTATTTATTGTTTTTTTGCTGTATATCTAAGAACACCTTCAATGCATTCCGTGGATTGTAGTCTGATCGACACTTACATAGACAGACTTTGTAATGATCCTATTTTTATGTCTAAGCCGTTATATCATATGTACTATCCGCTTTTGGTGGACATCTATCCACTTACCCCCTCACGACTTTTGGTGGACACGAGGCACAAATCGTTACAAAAAACGCATTAACTTACGTAATGGGCAACAATTGGTAACATGATTCAACTTAAGTCATTTTAAGGGAAAAATCAAGGGTTCAAATCATGGGGATGTGAGAGAAATCCGTAAAGGGTAAAATAGGTTCAGGTTCTCATAGTGAACAATACGTAAATTAACAGTTTGGGAACAAAGATTGGGTCGTTAAAGACTTTGAACAAGGGGTACTCGTGTCTCGTGAATAAATGGTCAAGTCTGCAATGAGTTCCATCTATTTCCCAGTATTAGCGCCTATATGTCTTTTATGAACATTGAAACATAGATAAATAGAGTAGAGTGAAAGAGAACATAATATCTGAAAACAAAAAGATAATCAATTAAACCGTTGAGTTAGCGTGTCTATAAGAGCCTCAAGACCTGTTAGCTTGACAGAATTGTTCTCACAATCCGGCATTGGAGGGATTATTTTGAAACACCGTATTTTTGCTTATGTGGAAATTTTTTAATTCCTGTTGCATTGGAGATGCTCTACATGAGAAGATTGTAGTTTTAAGATACTTTTTGAAATTGAATTCGGGGTTCATCTTTATACCTCTTTTACCTTCCGCATAATTTTAGTGTTATTTCAATTTGATTATTTTTAATTTGTTTTTTTGTGCATGTTTTTGTGGGTAAATTCAGCATATCAAGGCTATCATTACAGCTGAAGAGGTAAGTTTTTATAATTACTTTCTCTATTGAGTTTCAGCTCTTAGATTCATAGGAGTGCTGTGGAGTTCAATAATTTGTTAGGCTGCAGATTGTAATTATAATTTGGTTATTGATTAGGTGTTGCTTCGCGATCCATCAGATGATAATATTGCTCCTGTTGTGGAGGAACTTCGACGACGATTAAAACCAGTAAATGATAAACAGGAGGATAATGAAGATGGCAAGGACTTGGCAGTGCAGCCTGATGCTGAAACGGGTGAAGAAGATGGTATATTTTTATAGCTCTCTTTTTCTTTTCTACGACCAGTAATTGTAGCAGCTTTTGCAACTGATGGTTGTTCATTTTGATATGAGATGGCGAGTTGGTGCTGCAGCGTGATATTGAAACTGGTGAAGAAGAAGATAGTTCTTGTAGCATTATTTTTTCTTTTCCTAGGCTAGTAATTTCTGTAGCTTTTAAGACGAGTGCTTGTTACTTTGATATGACGACTACTATCTTACAGAGTTACACTATACATTTTTCCTCATGCTTATACCCCCCCTTTCTCTCTAGCTTCTCAAATCTTTTTATTTTCTCTCATTATATTTTATTCCCCCACTAATCTGCATGGTTTATTGTAGACTCTCCATTTGAGTTTCGGGCACTCGAGGTAGCTTTGGAAGCAATCTGTAGCTATCTTGCTGCCCGTACAATTGAACTGGAGACTGCTGTTTACCCAGCTTTAGATATGCTTACATCAANTAGCAGAAGATGTCTAATTTGTTTCTTATATACATCTTTATTCTGTCATCATCCTGCCTGATTTACAAATAGTGTGATATTTGTGCACCTGATGAACTTTGAAAGTACTTCGTATGCTGTGATGAAAACCAACATAATTTATAGAGGGCTCTTTGCTCCAGGTGTTCAGCATTTTGTGATTGCTTTTTGCTGTATTTTAGCTCAGTGTTAATACATAATGAAAATCATGGAGAGGCATATGTGTGGTAGTCAATTCCGCAGGTGAAGCGGGTTGAAATTACGAGGTTCGACCCAAATTACAATTATAGAGGGTGAATAGGTGATTATGCGAAATTACAATCTAATAATTAAATAGCAACAAGTTTCTTTTAATTATTGGTTAATTAATCAATTCAATTTCCCTATTTTAAATTGCCTCAGTTATATGGAAATAATAAATAACACATAGAATGATCACGGAGAAACTCCAATTAGGTAAAAACTCCGGATACTATGCTGATCAAAATTTCACACAGTCCGCCAGACATAACTACCACTAGCAGTTTTTGACCTCCTCACTGCAAATCTCATAGTCCTCTTGGATTGCGTGCCCCTACACCAATTCTCGATTGCAATTTTCAAAACCCTCATGGATTACGTACTCCTGCACCAACTCCCGACTTTCTAAATTCGTCCATCTCCTATGGATCAACGAAGAACTCCGCGTTCTCCAACATCAATTGGAACTCCAATCACATTCCCTTGATCTTTAGAACTCTGATAGATGTTTAGGAAGTAAGCAGTTTGGTATTTGGATTAAGTGGGTTTGATATTTTCACTACCAAGAACAATTCGAACTATGAAGGTTGAAAGTTATAGATGAATATGATGAAGTGGATATGAAGCAGTATGTGTTCTGTCAATATTCAACCTTGGAAAAAAAAACGTTCAGAGGCGTGCTCGTATTTATACTGTAGGTTTATGATTGAATGAGCCAGATAAAAAGCTCTAAAAACGGAAATTAAAACTTTTCGGATGACAGTGTCGCTTGAGCGAGGTCAAGACGATAGGCGAGTGACGATATTTTTGTTTCTACCGCTCGAATGAAGTCAGGCCGACAGTCTAGCTAAATTACGGAGCTATTTTTTTCCTTCTTTCCATTTTTGAACCCTAGACCTAATACAACTCAACTTATAATATTTGCAACTTACTCCTTAACTTTAACCTCATATTAAATCTAATCATTTTTGTTCACAGACTTGTCAATTACATTAAAAATCTAACAAAACGATGCCCCCCCACCCCCAACCATTTTGCTAATTTCATTCTTTCTTTCTTTTTTTTTTTTTTTTTTTTTTTTGTCAATAGACGCGGTAAGGTCAATCCTAAACTCCCCACCTAGGCACAGGTGGAATGTTGAAAAGAAAATATGTGGTAGCCTAAGCTTCTTATACCAGTTTAATGCTGTATAACTTTGTCTTCCCTCTAAAACTTGAAGGGATTGTTCTTTGTATTTCAGTTTTGTATTTTGAGTTTTGAATTCATTTTGGATTTTGTATTTTGAGTGTTCATTTTGAGATTTTTGAAAATGTATTCTTTTTGGTATTTTGAAAAATTGTTTTGAACACACCCAAAACGCGTTTTGAAAATTTTGGTTTGATTATAACTGAAAACATCGAAAACGTCAAAGTTGTCGTTTTAGGTTTTCTTTGTAAATTTTTAACTTGTTTTCAAAAATGTATTTTCAAAAATAGGAAAGAGAACGCGTTTTCACAGTTTTGAAAAATTGAAAATAGAAAACGACTTGAAAATAATAAAGAGAACATGCCCGAAATTTTTTGTTTTACTTTGTGTATATTATTTTGTTGTCTTTTCAGTTTTCTTTATTGCTTCCTGGAATTAGTTGTAGTTGAATATCTTTTCTCCTCTAACCTCTTTTCTTTGGCTGTAACCTTATGGCATGTTCAGTACTCCATACTGGCCCTTGTTGATCCATCTTTAAAATTTTCTTTCTCATTCTTCTACTCATTTTCAACCACACATTCTTCAATAAAATAATATTTTTCATCATATCAATAACTTTTCTTTCTTTTTCAACCACACAATTTCCATCAATTTACTATTCCAGAATACATTCTTCTAAAATAATGTGGCTCAAACAAATCTTAAAATTGACATTATTAGCTTCTTTGTGTTCATTCATACTGTTCAATCCACCTTATGCAATGTGTCATTAGTGGTCTAAATTTCTTGTATATTTTGTTGCCTCATTTTAGTAATTCTCTTAACAATTGCAATTGCAGATTAGTAGCCGTAACTTAGATCGAGTTCGTAAGTTGAAGAGTCAAATGACTAGGTTGACTGCTCGCGTGCAAAAGGTACTGTTCCCATTTTTAGTTGACGTGGTAGCAACTTCTGATGCTTGACTTTTACACAAGATAGACAGAGGAGAATGTAAAGCGCTGAGAGTTGAGAATGATGGTTATAGAATTCATTTGATTTATTAACAGAAGTGGTCGGCATGAATGGAAATTTAAAGGAAGTTTAGCCTCTCTTTGGGGCTCATTTTCTTCTGGCAATTTAGAAAAAAATTGGACCGTTGGTACAGGTTCAGCAGACAACCAGTACAATATTCACTGTAGCATCAGCAGACACAGCAGTGCAATGTGACGATTTTACACTTTTATTGTCATGGAAAGCAATGAAAACTAGCACATGCAAAAGGGCAAAACTGGGATAAGAGGGAAAAGTGAACAGTCAAATAATGAGTTTTTACTGTAGCAAAGTCTTGATGTGACCCAAAAAATGCATTTTTATTGTAAGAATGCCTACCAAACGGAGGCTTAGTTAGTTACTACACCTTGCACTGATGGATAATGGCACTTGGTTTATTGCAATTTTTTTCTTAGTGAAGTTTGTTTGCCACCCCTAAAATTTATTGATAACACTTCACATTATCCCAAAATAAAGATTTCCATTTCCTTTTACGGATAAATTACTATCCACTTTCCTAAAATATACCTTCTTCTCATTATATATGCTCTAAACTATCCTTTGTTAAATAATTTCACTTTGGTCTTCCAATGATAACCGAATGGAGTTACGAAAAGGGATTTATATAGCCAGCCCTATATTTAGTCGGAACGAGGCTTAGTTTCGTGTCTTAGATTTTATATTATTTTTCATGTCCAAAGAATTTTAATTTTAATTTTGTAGGCTATTTTCACGTTTTTTTTTTTGTTATGACGCTGCTAATTTGATATGACGTAGTTTCAAGGCAGCATATCATGCTTCATTCTTGAACTTTAAATTACCCTGCATTTGAATACCTTGACATTTATTAATTCTGGCTTTATACCATTGATTATTAGCAGGTTCGATTTAAGATTCAGTCATATGTAATTTGTATCTCACAATCACAACTCCTTGTGATTAACAAATCACCAAGACTTGAATCTACGGATTCTATTATTTAATTTATTAGAATATTAATTCAATTAAATAATAGATATTGCCATATATATGCATTGATTATATATATTCAAAGTGTTTATGTCCAAAGTTGATTGGACCTAGGGCATAACACTTACAGAAGCAATTTCTGATGCTTGACTACTTTTACACAAGATAGACTGATAGACAGAGAAGAATGTAAAGCGCTGAGAGTTGAGAATGATGGTTATAGAATTCATTTGATTTATTAACAGAAGTGGTCGGCATGAATGGAAATTTAAAGGAAGTTTAGTTAGTTACTACACCTTGTACTGATGGATAATGGCACTTGGTTTATCGCAATTTTTTTCTTAGTGAAGTTTGTTTGCCACCCCTAAAATTTATTGATAAAACTTCACATTATCCCAAAATAAAGATTTACATTTCCTTTTATGGATAAATTACTATCCACTTTCCTAAAATATACCTTCTTCTCATTATATATGCTCTAAACTATCCTTTTTTAAATAATTTCACTTTGGTCTTCCAATGATAACCGAATGGAGTTACGAAAAGGGATTTATATAGCCAGCCCTATATTTAGTCGGAACGAGGCTTAGTTTCGTGTCTTAGATTTTATATTATTTTTCACGTCCAAAGAATTTTAATTTTAATTTTGTAGGCTATTTTCACGTTTTTTTTTGGTTATGAAGCTGCTAATTTGATATGACGTAGTTTCAAGGCAGCATATCATGCTTCATTCTTGAACTTTAAATTACCCTGCATTTGAATACCTTGACATTTATTAATTCTGGCTTTATACCATTGATTATTAGCAGGTGAGGGATGAGCTAGAACAACTTTTGGATGACGATGATGATATGGCAGACCTTTACTTGTCTAGAAAATTGGCTGGTACATCATCACCTGTAAGTGGCTCGGCTGCTGCCAGTTGGTTCCTAGCATCTCCTACAATTGGCTCAAAGATATCTAGAGCCACTAGGGCAAGTATAGCAACTATTCGCGGAGATGATAATGATGTAGAGGATCTTGGAATGTTACTTGAGGTACTCGATCAGAACATATTAGAGTTTAGTTCTAGTGTACTATAAAACTACATTTTGAAAAGGTTCACAGTATAACGTCCGCATGAAGTACCAAATTGATGGCACACTGAACAAACTAACCACGGTGTGTGAACTACATTCTCGAAAGTTTTGATATCTATCCATCAAATTTAAGCATCTACATTCATTATTTTGTTCAAATGCACTTCTGCACTGAATAAACAAACTCCAAAACCGTCATTTATGTGTGGAAAGGTTCTTCATATTTTCTAGAGCAGTTATATGATAGGGTAACGACGGTCGTTTCTTGTTTTAGTTTTAAATGAATATATTTCTTTTTCCATTTGATTGTTATGAAGTGGCTTTCTGTGGATGTTTTGTGGTGTAATTTTATCTTATTATTTTTCTTTCTCCAAATACTCTCATCATTTAAGTTTTTTATTGTTTGCAGCTACGTGAATATGTTGACAATACAGAAGATTATATCAACATTCAGGTAAAAAAAAAAAAAAAGTAAGAAAGTCTTTGATTAATATGTAATTTATCTTGAATGCATAGTGATCTAAAACCATATTACATGGTCACTTTCAGCTTGACAATCATCGGAATCAGCTCATTCAGGTCAGTTACATGCATTTTACTTCAAAATAAGAATCTTTGGCTGGAGGAAGGTCGTGATAAGACACTGCATGGAACATGTAAATGTCTTCTTTATTTGTGTGGCCGCAGTTGGAGCTTATACTCAGCTCCGGAACTGTATGTATGTCGATTTTTGCTTTGGTGACTGGCATATTTGGTGTGAACATTCCTTATACTTGGAACAACGGTCACGGATACATGTTTAAATGGGTAAGCATTGACCTTCAATATGTTTGTTACTATTATTTTCTTGTATAATTCTTACTATTTATTGTTTTTTAGTTTGCACACTTAAATGATCCATTAAATTGCTTCCAGGTGATCATTGTCACGGGGACCTGTTGCGCAATCCTTTTTCTTCTTATTGTTTTTTATGCTCGCCTCAAAGGGCTTATTGGATCCTGATTCCATAAGTCATTAGGTCTTATCGCTTGAGCGGATTCAAAAATAGTATTGAAGTGTTTGGTAAGTTGGATTGATAGCACTGGACAATATTAACGAAGAAAAGATAGAAAAAATTGTGTTCATTCTAATATTACCTGCAAAACATGTACAAAATGTGCATTATCAGCAACGATGTATTTTTGAATTTTAAAGAAAAAGAATGTTTACTTTTGTAAATGATAAGTTTATTAGTGAATGACAATTGTATTCTTACAATTCTATAAATTATTACCATTGTATCCATAATCCTCTCCTATAAATATGGGACTTTGGTTCTCTCTTTTCTTTTTCTCTCTTTTCATAACATATTATCGTCATGAAAATTTAATTCTCCAGAGTTTAGTGAATGTAATAATTTTTTTAAATATAGCCATCTACCATGTGTACCAAAATTAATTTGGTAGCATAAGTTTTTTTTTTTGTTATAACACGTACTTTTACATTAATCAATCGTGCGTGTACAATCGTTAACATGTGCATAATTCTGCCACAATTTGCGTGCCATATCCCTGCCATGTAATGAATTTGGTCTTGCCACACATTATGCCATGTAAAGAATCAATTAGTAAAGAATTTTTTTTATCCGTCGCTTCCACACATAAACTTGTATCAATTCTGCCAATTTTCTACATATGTATTAATTTTGGGGTTAATTTCACAAACGGTCACTGAAGTTACCTAAAAATCACAAAACGGTCACTGAAATTTAAATTTCTTTCACAAAATTTTTAGATTTTTTGTGCAAGTTTTGCGGCGATTTTCCAGCAACTTCCGACCTCCACGACCCCCAGATTTGGATGCCGTTGGAAAGCCCATAATGTCCTCTTCAATTACCACCAAAAATCTCTCCATAACTCCAAGGGATTCGGCC